TTCTAATAAATGGGCGATTGATCTAGGGAATGGGAAGCTATGTAAACATTATGGGCAACATGTTACCTGATTAGCCTCTCACGTCGCCCCTTCCTTCACAAATATACTAATACACAATCCCTCAAGCACGAAGGCTTGGAAAGGGCGAAGTGATTTAGTCTTGTTTTTCCTCTCCTTATCTGAATGATCCCCTATGGTACAGTTGGGACGAGTCCCTTCTGTATGCGGCGAGTCCCCCTTGTGTGAGGCGGGGATATATCTCTAGCTGTCAAAAGATGAATCATATGCTAGATGGGGGAAATCCCCAAACATCAATTGAGGAAAAAATCTCGTGAGATATTTAATGCTATCAATGATGATTTAGCATTGGGATGCCAAATTAGATTTAATCCCTCACACGTGTCAGAAACGTGCAGAGCCTTTCATGTATGATGAGAAACCTAGGAGGCCCTCCATAGATGATGCCTTCTACTCCAAGAAGAAGCTAGAATATGAGATGTACGTGCTCAAGTATGACTTAGTGGAGACCTTCGATATCTACTTTGATTGTGTGAAGGAGCAGATGACCCTTCTTCATCCTGAGTTGGACCGGAGCCCTATGGACATAAAGGTGGTCTGAGATGACCAACTTGTGGACGATGAGGTAGGTCCTTCTCTTGACCAGCTCGCTGCTTTGTTTGTTAAGTACGCCCAAGCTAAGTTAGAAGGTGACAAGGTGGTGGGAAAAGTCAACTTAGAAGCAATTCTTCTAGAGGACACTTCTGAGGAAAGGAAAATTTTTGTAGAGGGTCAATGAGCCGAAGCTTTATTTTTCTTGTTCTATTTTGGTCCATTTGTGTCTCAATTGTTCCTTTGGCATCACTTTTATGAAATGATGAATTTCTCCCTTCAAATGCTTCTTTTTTAATGATGGCATGTTTTCATTATCATTGTGTGTTTTCATGAAATGTCCCATGAATAGGTTTTTGCCATTATCCTGGGGAAGAAGGTTTTCTGCCTGAGGAGGATAATGTTGCCTTAGGGGCGACAAGGATTCCTGCATGAGGATCCATTATATATGGACCCCTCATGGGATGGTTTTGCTAAGATATCTGTTGTGAATAGGATACCGTTAAACAAAGTATACTCGATTTCTTATCAAGAAACACACAAGGGTTAGGGTTAATAAAGAAAAAAAGCAACAAGGAACAACAAGGATTGGTTATTAAACTGCTATTCTTTCCTTTCTCTTAGAACAAGATTACAAGTATACAAGAATAACAAAATAACCTCTCTCCCTTGAAATTAGGATTTTATCTTCCTATTTTTCCTTATTCTCAAGATTGAGAAACTAGCATCCTATTTATAATAAAATAGCACACTAACCTAATGGGCTTTTTAACAATTACCCATTACAAGCTAACTTAGGGTACAAGCTAACTTAAACAATTGGGCTTACAAGTAAGATTCAATTCAACATGCTAACAACCATAGCAATATTGACTAATGCATGTTAGAACAAACTTCGACTACAACATGCATTACTCGCGAACAGACTTCGACCATACTAGAGTTCGATCCAACATCTCACAAATCTCCACCTTGGATCTAACTCTATAACATCAAGAAACTAGCTTTCTTCATGCAGCTTTATTAACTGCATACAGTGGAAAAACTTGCAACTGGGCAATGTCTTTTCTTTTGCCGTTAACGCAGCGTCCATGGCTGCCTCACCCTTCAACGCTTCCAAACAACCCTGCTGAACCAATAGGGCTTTCATCTTCAAGCGCCACAGACCAAAGTCGTTCACTCTGGTGAACTTTTCAATCTGATACTTTGTTGAAGGCATCTTCTCCACGCTCACCGCACTAATTTGTTGTGAATAGGATACCGTTAAACAAAGTATACACGGTTTCTTATCAAGAAACACACAAGGGTTAGGGTTAATAAAGAAAAAAAGCAACAAGGAACAACAAGGATTGGTTATTAAACTGCTATTCTTTCCTTTCTCTTAGAACAAGATTACAAGTATACAAGAATAACAAAATAACCTCTCTCCCTTGAAATTAGGATTTTATCTTCCTATTTTTCCTTATTCTCAAGATTGAGAAACTAACATCCTATTTATAATAAAATAGCACACTAACCTAATGGGCTTTTTAACAATTACCCATTACAAGCTAACTTAGGGTACAAGCTAACTTAAACAATTGAGCTTACGAGTAAGATCCAATTCAACATGCTAACAACCCTAGCAATATTGACTAATGCATGTTAGAACAAACTTCGACTACAACACGCATTACTCGCGAACAGACTTCGACCATACTAGAGTTTGATCCAACATCTCACAATATCTTTCTCTCTCCAATTTCTTGTAAATAAAGCAACAATATTCCAAATTCACATAATAATACGAGGGGCCTCATTAAAAACCCATGCGCCACGTTGGCAACATAGGGGAAATAGTGCTTCCCACAAAACAAAGTATGTCATAAATTTATCCTTACAATAAGAATAGAGCTAAAAGTAAATGAAAACAAAGCTAAACCAAAAAAGTAAGTGAAACTAAGTTAAACGTGGCTTGACGCCAATTATCATCTTTTGACATATGATCCTTTTCTGTCGTCTTTGCGTCTTCCTGGCCTAGAATGACCAGGTCTTTATCCTCGAGAGCTTCCTTTAGTGACATGATCCTCAACTTTACGCCTATAATGTTCATGCCCACAATCCTAATATTCTTCAGCTTCAGGTTCTCTACATATCATTTATTAGCGATCTCCTGGCCTCAATATCTGCTCACGACCAGTGTTTAGAGACGTGAAGCTCTCTGTGTGTTTTCTGCTTTGCTTGAACGCATTCCCCTCTCTGACAGGCAAGGTGTAATGACTCCTTTATGACTGCTGTGAGCTGTCAGTATTACAAGCATGCTTTTTTGCATCTCTGACCTTCTTTTAAGCATTGCTTTCTTTCTTTTAAGCATTGCTTTCTTTGGCCTTTATATAATAATCCACATGTGTCACCACTTCAACTAAGAAAAACGTGGGCCTAAAGGCGGGGGATTCATAAAAATGTCCCGCCCTAGTGCCATTTTGAAATGCTTCCACAAACATTTTTTGTTTTAGGTGGACGACCTTAATGGTCGCCTCGTTGAAGCGAGCGAGGTACTCACTCAAAGAATCAGGGGGGCTTTTCCTAATGTTAAAAAGGCTGATGGAGGTCATCTTTCTGTGCCTGCTTGCTGTAAACTGGTGCACTAGTTTCTTCACAAAGTCTTGATAGCTGGTGATGAAGAACCGAGGTAAGTCCATATACCATCTTATGACCGCATCTCTGAAAGTGCCAGAGAGAAGCTTGCATTTCAAGGAGTCATGAGCTCCAATGATTTTCGTATGCGTGTTATTGGAGATGACATGTTCACACGGTCACTGAGTCCATGAAACTTAGCCAACAAAGACGACTTAAAATTCTATGGTATCAGAGTCTCTCGTAATTCATCAAAGAGAGGTTAGGGGTCCAGTATTTCAAATCTCTTTATAGGATCGATCCTTGCCAATGTTGTTGGATGTGGAGAACGTTATGGTCCAAAGTTTGATTTTGGCGGCATTAATCGTCCATGTCAGCTCACATCTCTGCCATGACATCCTTCTCGCCTTCAAATTCACTATTAGCCGAAGTTGCTGCCTATGAAGCACAACCACTTCTAGGAGTAGGTGTGTCTAACAAACATCGGTGTCCAACACACGTATGACACGTGTCAAAAAATTCAGACAAGTGTCGAAAAAATCTAACAAGTGTCCCCTTTAAAAATGACTTTTTTTATTTGATTTAACACTCTTTGAGTCGGTACCCGACACTCGTATGACACTCATACAACATGTGTCAGACAACTCAGACAAATATTTAATAAGAAATTGTTCTTTTTTTTGCTTCAACACACAATGTGCATTTATTGAACAAATCTCACGTATATTTGAAAGGGTTAAAGAAGTATTGAAGCAATGATATCAATGATTTAAAAACATTAATTTTGATTAAAATATTTTTAACTCTTTAAATAATATATAGATAAATGAAACTCAAATACTAAAAATACTATACACAGTAGGAGCTAATTGAATTTATTAAAAATACAATACATGACAACCCCTAGCGATTAAGGGTTGTTAAAGGCTTTAGGGTTTGTTGTAGGGTTTAGAGGTAGCTCACGTAAGAAGGTGAGAAGTTCTGTATATATGGTATATGAACAAATGAGATTGTTCTTTTCACCCTGATTCTTGGGCCTGCATTTTTGACCTCTAAGAAGTAACAACCGCTTCGAGGAACGGGGGAGTGGGGTAGTTAATCCTCTACTATTCAGAAGCGCGTGGTTAACTTTTCTGACTCCTTCTCCGCACCGTTGTGGACTGAGAACACATCACTTCCCACATTCTCATGCTTTAGGCGAGTTGTCCCTGAAATTGACAGCATATTTGAGATATTGACGTCAGTTCTACTAAATGGGCGATCGATATAAGAAATAGGCGATTAGAAAAGCATTGTGGGCAAAGTATTACCTCGTTTCCTTTCCCATGTCGCCCCTTCACAAATATACCAATATAATTTTCTTCTATTAAAGAAAGAATCCAAGGAAAAGCAAAGAATATAAACAGTTTAAGAGTTTAATAATTATAGAAGAAATTCTATACAAGAGGTGACTTATATTTATTGTTTGATTTTTGTATGAACTGCAAACAGATTTTTAAAATGATATTATAATATGATCATCTACAATCTATTAGATTTGTTCGAGTGTATGTGAGTCACAAAGCAACAACTTCTAATTTCCAAAAAAAACATCATGTTGTTAAAAATGTAAGTAAGAATTTTTATATATTTTCAATATTGAAATTATTTATGGTAAATAATACTGCAAATCTGCAATGACCTTTCAATATGATTGCAATTTTAAGGTTCAAATCCTTCATTTTATCCTACAACTCTAGATACATATATGAACATGAATGAGTTTCTTATTTCAGTTATCAGGCAAACGTGTAGGGATTGTTGGATTGGGAAGTATTGGCATGGAAGTGGCAAAGCGATTGGAGTCATTCAATTGCACCATCATGTACCACTCAAAACATCAAAAACCATCAATTTCTTACCCTTTCTATTCCAACGTTATTGATCTTGCAACTTCTAGCGACGCACTTGTCGTGTGTTGCGCACTAAATAACCAAACACGACACATGATAAATAGAGATGTTCTTTTGGCATTAGGAAAAGAAGGTTTTGTTGTCAATATTGGAAGAGGTGGTCTTATTGATGAGAAGCAATTGATCAAGTGTTTGAAGGAAGGAGAAATTAGAGGTGCTGGTTTGGATGTGTTTGAGAATGAGCCTCATGTTGATAGAGATCTCTTTGCAATGGATAATGTGGTTTTATCTCCACATGCAGCTGCTTACACTGGTGAAGCTATATTGAAATTGTGTGATCTTGCGGCAGAGAATTTAGAAGCTTTCTTCTTGAATAAGCCATTAATTACACCAGTGATGTTGGGTTAGTAACTTATTCTCTCAAGGGATTATGGTTGTATGAATTAAAGAGTGATTATATATATATGCATTAAATTACTTAGACAATTTTTTTTTCATTGTTCACCTTTTTTCTTAATGTTTTGGTATATGTGATGCGATAATCTTTTAAAGAATAAGATGATTGTTTAGTCTCTGAAATGTGGCATTTTTGCTGGAGTAGCTTTTGATAGTCTATTGTGAAATATTCAAATATATACAAGAAGAATTGAGAAATTACTTACAACTATTGAATTTTGATGGTTGTATATGCGATGAATAAGAGTTTGGTTGTTTAGATTTAAAAAATATATTTTTTATATAAATAATTTAGAATTTTTCTCTAGCCACTAAAAGAGACATAAAGTATGATTGAAAAATCTTACAAATTGAAAAACTATGCATGTTAACGGTATCTTCATTAATATTTTACATTTTTTTATATGATGATAGCCTATGTAGACATAAAAGTCTTCCATGTCGGTCTTTGAAATTAAAAGGACAAGTTATCAGAGATCCTAATCTCTTTAATTCAGAATACTTGAAACGGAATTGATGAGTGTTTTTTATTTCAAAATCCATCATAATATTTTCTACGATATTTGCAAGTAAAGTTCCTAAGTTCCTTGAAAACCAAGTGAAAAAGATGTTTATGAATGCATGGATGCATGGTTATACAACAATCACAAATATGGTTGATTCAAAGGTTCGATGTCACGAGAATGGAGACAGATGGACAGGGTAACAACCATCCCACATGATATGTTCCATGGTTTTGAAATCCTGAACAATAATCGGGTTCTAAAAAAGTTCCTAGAGTCGTAAATCCATCTTTTAAATATTACCGATTTAACGACTTGCTTGTAGACCAATAATATTCTAAAGAGAACCTTGTCTGAGTATATTATCGTGTATCAACTATTCCAAGCCTACGCCAGGAAGGTCACCACATTACGTCCTAAAAGGCCAAAGGAGTTAAAAGTGTTCTAAAGGTCTCTAAGAATCTCAGACTCCTAAGTCAAAAATAATAACGACATTACGACTACTTGTATGACATTAATACCTCAAAAGGGGACTCATCTGAGCGGGGTTCTCATGCCAACCTAACAACGCTTAACGCCCATAAAGTCGACATGACTATACCACCATCCTAGCCTAATTGCACTCAAGTCAGGGTAGGAGACTTATCTCACCACTCAGAGATCACCAAGCACCCAAAAATAAAAATAGCAAACAACAATAATAATATATAACACATATAAACAAGTTAGGCTAGCTGGCGGGAAAAATTATTGAGATTAAGCTATTGATTAACTTAACTCGAAAAGTAAGAGTCGTCACCGAACTTTATTTTATTTTTCAAAGAAAAAAGGGAAAAGGTCAAACAAAACCCACAAAAGCAAAAAAAAAAAAAAAAGAAAAAAAAAGAAAAATCTGGATACGAGGGTTGGTTATGCAAGGGGAAAGTATTAACACTCCTCACATATGTTGTACTCAACAGAAACCACTTGCAAATCTTTGTTTATATAAAGTCGGGTTATTTATTGATTAATTTTAAATGAGAAGATATTTTATCGTATTCGAGTGGAAAACTCAACTTACTACCCACAAGTATGAGGAAATGAGCATTTACATCATCTTGATATGGACAACTTTTAGTTGGACTTTCTCACAAGTACATCTCAACATTCAAGTAGAAAATATCAGTCATTTCTCAGCATCTTATAGAAGTATAGTGGTTTGCATCGCTGCAAAAATATACTAACATCTAGTCTTTTGAAAAAGGCTCTTAAAAGAAAAAATGCACAAAGGCACAAAAATGAGTTTGATGAGGTTTGTGTTTTTTAGAATATTTTGAAAGGAGTTTGAGTATGCTTAAGTGTTTTATTATTTATTGAGAAAAGATTTTCTGAATCAATTGACAAAGTCAAGGTTATTAAGAAAGAGATGTGAAGTTTGAAAACAAGAAGTTTTTGAAATAGAGAGAAGTTTTGAAAATTTAAGAAGTGGAAAGGAGAAGAAGAGGTTATCCTAAAGCATAAAGTAAATGGTATCATTGTCAGGTAGCTCAAGAGAAAGCCTTTGTGTGTGCAAGTGTACTAACCACAAGAAGAGGCAAGCATTTGACATAGGTCAAAACCATCATTCTTTTTCTTTGGATTGAACCACAAGATGAGCAAAGCAATATGCACAAATGAGTATCAAAGAAAACCATATAAGTAAAAAAGTTATAGAGCCACAGAGAAAGCATACAAGTCATGAATTGAGGATCATAAAGTCTCAGGTATAACACTAAGTCTTAAATGAACTCTAAAGTCACAAATGAACTCTAAAGTCACAAATGAACTCCAAAGTCTCAGATACTACTCCAAGGAAAGGGAAGGCACTAGGTCCTAAGTCCATAGTCCAAAATACCCCTCAAGCAAGAGATAGTAACACAAAGTCCAAGAGATTAAGTTTTTTTAGGGTTTTATCCATTTTATCATGTTTTTGTACTTTTTGAAACAAGAAAGTAAAATAAAATGCATAGAGATAAAAGACAAGAAAAAAAGGGCAAGAATGTAAATGCCATAAAAGTAAATGACATAAATGTAAAGAGTATAAAGTAAATGTTAGATGTTAGTACAATTTATATTTCAATGTTAGTGTTAATGAGAACTTAATCGAGTCGGAACAATTTAACGCTATGTTAGTCAATCGTAAGTGGACTTATGTAGAAGTCACATCTGTCTGAGATCACTCAACAATAATTTATGTGCTCAAACATGCTAGAGAAATGATACAAAATCATTCTCCTAAAGCAATGCAACACAATAGTTAAAACAAAGAAGAAAGGAGAAGGAGAGAGAGATGATCAACCATAAAGGCAAAGGGGATTATCTATCATCAACTTCAATCAAACCTCCTCATGATACTTTGAGATAAACTTATCATCAATCCAAAGTACCAAAAATGATCAAACGATCCTTTAATGATACGTTTGAAATGATGAAAGTTCAATCCATCAAAACATCAATCCAAAACCTAATTGAATGAGATGAAGCATTAATCAACCACAAATGATCAAGGTCAACAAAAGGTCAAATCAGAAAATAAATGAAATATAATAATAAAAAAATTAAAAACAATTTTTAAAAGATTTTTAAATGGAAATCAAAAGAAAAATACCAAAGAGGTATCAAAACATCAAATAAAACGTCCCAAAAAATTGAGAAAATCACAAATACTATAAGTAATGCGATCTCAAAAGTTGGGACAAAAAATATTTCAAAATGATGAAGAATTAAAATTTTAAAGATAATTAAAAAGAAAATAAAGAGAAAATAGCAAAAAATGCTAAAAATAATTTTTTAAATCTGAAAAAAAAACATATTAGGTAGGAAATATTTCTAGTGATTTATGAAAAAAAATTGGAGTGAAAAAGGTTTTTGGAGCTATTTAAAATAAACTTTGAAAGAAAAAGGAATTAAAAATGAAAAATAAATAAAAAATAGTAACAACTATGTTAGGTGGCACGCGCTAATTAGACAAGAGATTCAAATTTGCCACCATTGTGCGCGAAGACCTACGTCGTCTTCAACCTCTAGCCAAATTTGCAGATCCTTGAACTATGAGTTTTAAGCTCAAACACCTCATACTTAAGCTTTTACTCATGTCATCATTTTCATCTCTCTGCATTAGAGCCATTGATTCACTCCAAGCAGAGGGAATTTGACAATATACGCAGAAAATCTAGAAGCTTCAAAGTTAAATTAAATGACTAATACGATGAATAAATGAAAGGTAAGTGAAGGCTTAGCATTAGAAGATCAAGACGAAGAGAGTGGTAACTTGTTTGTGCTAAGATTATACTCGTATCTACCTGTTCGAAGAAGCTTCAAATGTTTGAAAATGGTGAGATCAGGTTGAAGGTAGCAGAAGGTGTTGAAATTCTATAATGCTTCAAGTAGCTTCAGATGATGCCGATGAAGGATTTAGGGCAGAGAATTTGGAGTTAAAACAAGCTAAAATGAAGCAAGGATTTCTAATTTTTTGAGCTTGTTCAAAGTGAAAATGGAAGAGGTTATATGGCTTTCAAAGCTTGCAAGTGAAGGCAAAACGATGCTCTATTTATAGGAAAGGGAGTGAGGTCATGGTACATGACAAATTGGATCTCAAACATGTGAACCAAGTTGAGAAAATTCTAGATCCAAACCGTGTGAAAAAATTGGCATGAAATGCGTGAGCTGTGATTATTTTCAGGTTATTTTATGTAGTGGTGAACACATTTTGCAATGAGGTATAAGTTTGCACATGGTTTAGGTGGTCCCAAGTTGAGTTTTACATCATTACCAATTATAGGTCACGGTACAAAACAAAGTTTAGGTCACCATGTTCATGCTTAGGCCACATGCAATCCACTCGTGCATTTTGTGATTTTATTCAGGTCAAATGATCTTCTCATGGAGGAGAATACAATGCAAAAAGAACCAACTCAAAAGGATGTTTGAGTTTAAATGGCATGAGTTGAAATTTGAGGTCGTGGCACTGAAAAATAGGGTTGACATTAGGTCAAACATGTCATAAACCTAGTTTTGTGCACATGAGGCCTTTAAGCAACTTCAAATATTGATGGACTTAGAGGTTGAATTGAGTCTTGACCTTAAAGTAAAGTTGTAGAGGACATCAAATGTGACATTTGACTCAAAGAAAATCCCAAAAATGTTGATAGTTGGGGAGTTATGATATTTGGACCAAAAGGCATGCCATACTTGATTTTAGGTCAACTAACTTGAATTTTATTGAGTTTCCTTCTATCCAAAGGCTTAATAATGATCACTTGAACACCAAATAAAGGAAGCTTGATTGTTTTTTTTAATAACCTTAATGATTGCTTGAGAATTGAATGAAAATGGCATGGAAATAAACACATGAGCCATACTTGATCATCTTTGAATTTATGCATCAAACTTAAATTTCTTTTGATCAAATGATGTTGAATAAAACTTGAC